TTGCTCCAGAAATGTGTTGTATATCTAAAGTAAACTGTGAAATGTAGTCCAGTTGTCGAAACTCTCATCGAAAGTGGTATAAGAAATATCTAAAAGCTCTATACTACAACCTACTTCCATGAAAGATTGTGTTGTTTACAGACAAAGCATTGATGTGTGGTCGAGAATGATACTGATTGGTTGTCTGCTTAGTCAGACATGTAGATAGTCTGGCAGGTGTCAGATGAATTATATACTCCCCTATCCTTATAATTATTATCGGTTGTTCATTGTTGTTGGATTGTGTCGGGTTTTGGTGTGGAAATATATTTACGTTCTAGTCAGGCTAATCACGTATTCTTGATCTCAGTTGTGCTGAAGTCATGTAGAATAGACACTGGAAGATAATCTAGTGTAGATATTCGTCTAAGGTAAACTAACCGCCCTTACATGTAAACGTGGGAACCCAGCCGTTGTAACAACCATATTGGATTCAAAAATTACTCGACAATTCGTCCTAATTATGACATTTATTTTCACAATTACAAATATTACTAAGCTCGCTGCAGTAAATTCTTATGAAAAGTCTATAATATGACTCGACATATTCCTAACTGTAGTTCCACACGTCGTCTCAACTTAAAATGGTTTTGGTTAAGTTTATTATTTTTAAATTGTTATATTCCTCACTAACATCCATGTTAACTTAGCCTGCACATGCGTTGCATTATATCTCTGTGCCTTTTAAATTTAAAAAATCACTTAACCACCCTTAACATTTTCACTAAACCCATCATATTCGTTATCGCTATACGTATTTGGGTCTATGAATTGGTATATCATATTAGTTGCCTGAAAAACGAACTTAGTTCAGATAATAAAGTCACCAAATCTGGGTACTATTATACTGCACTAGCATAATAACTAAACTGTTAGGTAATTGTCGGTCAAACCAACACATAAAATCAAACTTCGGAGCCTATATTTAGAATGATCGCTATATAAAGGAGTATTTTTGAATTACAATTTATAATATAATCAAGCAGCTCGGATTCGCTAACGCTACAGACTGCTATTTCAGAATCATCCAAGACAACTATACCTATTTCCCACTAGCTAATCGTCAATCAACACCATGAATAGTTAAACATAATGGTTTCAGGATATCGTCATAAGTCATTTTTATGACTTGATAATTGCGTAATATGATTGATAAGGTTGATGAAACTGTTAACAAAATCAGTCAACAAATTGACTTGTAATTGTCATCAAATAGTGTTGTTTTCTCGTTATCCTCATCCATCACAGGTGATTACAGTATGCTTCCCTATCGGTTGCTCATTCAGAAAATACCTTTAAGCCTTGTCAGTTTGATTTGAGGTTTTGCGACACAATCATGTATACAGTTCATCAGTTCAGGCAGTCGAGCAAATATCCTACGAACTGAAAACACTGTCGAATTTACCCCAACACATGATTTCGAATTCCAAATATAGTATATTCGTTCGTGCTTATCTAGCACTTCTTGATCCAATTGCGTTATTTCTGGGATTCTTAGATCGTACTATAGTTCAAATACCCCTAATTATTATATTAGCGTCGCGATGTAGCCTATGATGGATTTGTTGGACATACATCCAGATTTTGATGCTTTTGAAGATTACTGTGATAGGTTCGAAATTTGGGCCTTGACGAAGGAGGATATTGAGGATTTTAATATTGTGGCACATTTTCTCACAATTATCGGAAAAGAAGCATACAGCTTAATAAAAATCTGGCTTTACCAGAAAAGTCCATTTCACTTCTTTATGCAACTCTAAAGGAACTACTGCTAGACTGTGTTAAGTATACAAATTTCGAATGCGGTAAAGAAGGGAAATTTTATAAAATTATTCATCAGGACATAAAAAATTTCGCTACATTACTACGTTATCCCGTTCCAATGAGTGCTCAACGTTATGCTGATGACTCATTGAGGATATGCGATAAAATTCACAAAAGTGAGATCAAGTTTGATAAATGTTTATCCTGTGAGAAATTTCACTCTCGTAATTCATGTGTATCACATAATGCTAAATGTTTCAAATGTGGTGAGATTGGACACATTCAGTCAGTTCATTCCGATGCAACTAATGCTAAAATTTGTACTCGTGATCCTATCAAGTTAGTTGCTTCTAGCGATCATTCATCTTTATCCACGACTTCGAAAAGCGGTACAGAGTCATGTAGCAAACCAGAGTTAAATGGGACTCAGAATCATTTTGAGACAACAGTTTCTAAACAGTTAACTTACCAGATTTCTAATTTTATTGTACCAAATATGGCCTTTCCCAATGATTCACATATTTCTGACGAAATTCCTTGCAAATCTGAAGAAAATATATTGAGTGAACCTAATCATGATTAAAAGCCTGATGTAGTTTTGATAGATGCTGATTTTTCTAATCATCTTTTACTCTGCAATAACATTCTTAATAAATGCGAGGAAACTATTTCAGGAGAGTCAAATCTTGATGTCATATCAAATATTATTTGTACTCATAATGCATTCGCTTCTTGTGGGAAACTTGATCAGTGCGAAGAACAAGTACTAAATGAGCTCGATTTTGATTACAATTCGGATGATTTCATATCAACTGCTGTTTATCCTTATCACAAAAACACTTCTAATGTTTACTCTAACCAGAAAAATTATTCAAACTAATGTGAGAAATATGTTTTAAATGAAACCACATCATTCATAACTTGGAGATATGAAAATTCAACATTATTTCGTGGGGGAGGATAGTCTGAAAGTCTATGATTCAAATACAAGGTGGCAGTGGTTTCAGCGCACAACTAACACAGTGATTGTACACAATCCCAGGACGCAGGTGAGTCTGTTTCGATTTCGGTTGTTAATTCCAACACTAATGAGCACATTCTAGATAATACAGAGTATTTATTCAATACACTGTCGGACAGCTACAGGATGGACTTAGGAAGAAGGCGTACAATCGATTACAGACACTTAGATTTCAAATATAGTACATTCGTTCGTGCTTATCTATTACTTCTTGATTCAATGGCGTTATTTCTGGGATTCTTAGATCGTGCTATAGCTCAAATACTCCTAATTATCATATCAACCTCCATATAATCTTCACTTAGATTTTCATTTTCAGCCTGTTAAGCGATAAAACAGATATTTTAAGGCTATTACATCTATTTTCTGATTAGTTTCTGACGCCTTTTTGATTTATATTTCAGCTCATGAATACCCGGACGTTTCTTATTATTCTCGGTAACCTCCGGGGTGAGATAATCTAGTGGAAGAGTGGTGTAGTGGTATCAGTCCTAACCACACGATACTCGAGGGTGAACACAAGATGACTGAGAAAAGTCACACTCAGCATCTAACGCAAAGAGAAAATTAGTAATTGTGAACTCGGGAGCAATGAAACGAAACGGCATGACTCGGCCTTGCAAGTGTGGTCACTACGTAAAACGTAATACATTTTGTATTGAATGTATCACTTTCTGCCCGGCACAAATGTGTCATCAACGGTGATAGATGTCATATTGGTGATTGTCACGACAAAACGAGTTAGAAAAGGGAATCGCGTGACTTCCACGCAGGATCTTGTAGACAAGGTGGCCACATCATGACGAATCAACAATTTTAGGATTAGGTCTATTATTATGGTAGCAAATATGAGCGTGGAAAAACTAACTTCAACGTATCAGGAGGTTCTGTGACGCATCAGACATCATCATAAGGAATGGATCTCTATAGAAACCTTAGACAAGATTCGAGAAAGGAAGAACGAAACGGCAATTAACAACAACTGAACAAGAGCAGAGAAAGTCAAGGAACAAACTGTATACACAGAAGCAATTGAAGAGGAGCATTAGACCCGACAAGCAGAAATATGTGAAAGACCTAGCAACAACAGCGGAAAAAGCTGGAAAAGAAGGAAGTATGAGACAGCTATATGACACGACGAAGAAACTGGCAAGGAAGTATAGTAAGCCAAAGAGACCAGTCAAAGACAAGTAAGGCAAGACAATTACTAAGACTCAAGGAGAGAGGAACAAACGGGTAGAGCACTTTGAGGAACTCTTGAATAGGCCAGCCTCACTGCACCCAACGGGTATTGAAGAAGCATCTACAGATCTTCCTATGGACGTCACTCCACCAGCGAAGGAAGAAATCGGGATGACCATAAGACGAATAAAGAGCGAGAAAGCAGCAGGACCTGACAACATACCAGCTGAAGCACTAAAGTTAGACATAGAAGTAACTGCAAGCATGCTTCATGTTCTACTCAGGAAGATTTGGAAGGAAGAACAAGTGCCGATGGACTGGAAAGAAAGACCTCTCATCAAGATTTCAGAGAAATGAAATCTGAGCAAATGTGGAAAATGCAGAGGCAATGGCCGAAGAATTCGATTGTGGACCTTTTGTTTGTTTATCCTTTTAGTCTGAGAAAGTGATACTAGTTATGTAGTTCTAGTTACTCGTTCTGGTACTTACGGCTATGATCAGATCTCTCACTGGTCTACTGAGATATGAACTAGAACCCGGGGTAAAGTATGTATGTTTGATTACCTGTTTGTAAGATTAAACTCAAAGCTGAAATAACCTATCTGTGAGTTTATAGCCGAACGAACGGATTTTGAATGACTTGTAGCACTTGTATCGGTAAGCAAATCTGTAGGACAGGCATTTCTATAAGTCTTCGTAACTGTTGCTGACCTCGTTAGTTTTGCTGGACATGACCTCGCTAAATGCACTAAGTCACGTATCCGTACCAGATCATAAATGAGTACGCCGAACTACACACTACTCACAACTACTAGCCAGCTTAGATCAAACGCCTCTCTAAATATAGAATGCCTTAAAAATACATCTTTGAAATCATCCATCCCCTACTTCTGATCTGATTGGGTTTCGAATCATTCAGTTATATAGTTATCACAGACGAAAGGGTTGGCTACCCTGAATATATGTGGCATCTTTATATCTAATGATGCTACGGCAAATTTTTAAGTAGACAGAGTTTTCTTGCTTTTTCGGCCTAGCTATATGCCAAGAGATCATTCCATCAGACAACACTTTGAAGCATCAAGTATTTGAGGAACGGATTCGAATGTGTCGTAACAGTGACACGGTAAGGTAGAAACGATCTTCGGTTTGGAATTATTGATCAGTTGCTTGGATCAATACCTTTAATTGTCCATATGCAGCTGGTTGAAGGCTAATTGTGCCAAGGATTCACTCACATATTATCGGGGTATTTACTCTAGCGGCGATTCCAACCAACTAATGCAGTTATGTATGACAAAGTCAATAGTGATTTGTTTACTGTAAAATGACAGAAACGGTCGATCAGAACTTGGAGATTTTTAAGCTAGTTAGGTTTCCTTGGACGCTTTTTCACTCGATTTTGATGTAATTTTAAGGGTTCTGTTTAATCTATTTATTATGACATTTCCGCTACCTGTGTTATACCTGAGGATAGTATATTTTGTAAATAAATTCCATATGTAAACATTTTTGTGTAGCCAGCTCACAATATTCTACGAGGTCTGAGCAATACTCCTCATACCCTTAATTAGTTTGTTATTAACCCATGCTCCCTATTTTGGGGGAAAATTTACCCGTTTTCGATGAATTTTAGGCAAGCCACAGTAGAAAATGCTGGAAAAGTGACACGAAAACCCCAAAAGTTTCTTCAGGTCTGGGGAAGATCCTCGAACTTTTGGAGAACTTTAGGGTTTACCCCAATATTTGCCCGAAAACACTTCAGGGAGACCCCTAAAATTAACTCAGAATAGAAAGATTGAGAACTCAACAATTTAGAAAATTACATTAAACCACCTAGAAATGCTCAAATACGCTTCCACCAGTTGAAAAACCTTAAAATATTGGGCATAGAATTGCTGGTGACGTCGAAACCTATATCTCGTGATCCCAAAAAACTGTCGGTAGGACTATATTTTATGGACGGCCTTTGAAAGGATTTTTAAGTGACCTTGAAACTATTAGCCAATCAGAAGAGAGTTAGTATAAAGTAAAAACATTATAAAAAACTTATGAATTACAGCAGATATTCTTTTACATGATTTAAAAACTTGTTAAGGTTAGATAAAGGTTCAGATGTCCTGAAATCATAGTGCATAGGGTTAGGGTGCACTAACCCAAGTCTATGGAGGCATCTATACGCTTTCCAATTCCTCAGACGCCTCTGATTGGCTCGTCCATAAATTAGAGTCTTACCCAACTGTCTTGTGTAGATTCGGTTAGAAATATCTTCATCCTACATAACCACCCTAAACTCGTAGCATCACTGCCGCTTGCTTGTAGTTCTAGAGTTGGGAAAGTAGTTTTTCCTAAGTCTCTTTAGGCAGGAAATGTTATATTTCCTCGAGTCATCCAAACAGAATTTTGCATTATAAAAAATGTGTCTCTAGATCCCAAAACTCAATGGGTGTTTTTGTTGTCAATTGATAGTAACTCAGAAATAGCAATAGCAAACGGATACTGGGGTTTACAAGCACAGAATGATCCTAAACGTTCACTTGAAATTTTTTTCGAAGCTAGAGTAGTACTTTACTAATACTCAGGATTTCCTGGTTTGTTATATATCGCTCTGGTTTTTTGAACTATGCTGTACCTCAGCTAACATTTATACGACCTTGCACTTACAGAGACTTCTCAGTTATTTTTAACAGATGATTATCAAACGTAGATCCATCTATAAATCCCCTTAGTTGTGTTCATCGATAGTTTGCACTAGAGTCTAGACCTTAATTTTGTGCAGTAAAGGACGTGTTAGATGTCTACAAATAATACATTCCGTTACCAAATCAGAGTATCTTCTCTAAAGTGGACTGAAAGTAAGTAGACAAAATCGAGTGGTATTTTCCACTCGGGGCCCATTTTCGGACATCAGTTTGGCTAAGTATTGACTGGTCATTAAGAACTGAAAATACCTGTTGAGAAGTGACATACAGAGCACGGTTTACATGGAATATCTCGTTCAATTTGTATATTTTTCAACCTATTTTAGGACAGTTCCATAAGACACCGAAAACATCATACACTTTGATTTTATTGGTAAGCGTTTAGAACAAAGTAGCTAGTGAACTTGGGTAATATAATCCCGATTTCATGTTGAAATTGTGTATTCTTAGGCATTCATTCAGTTACATTTTGTTGTTAATCCTCTCTTAACTTGACTAAGGTGTCAATTTCAGAAACTTTTTTGACTTGATAGAATTATAAAGGCACATAATGCCAACCTCTGATATACATAATAAATATCGAGAAGTTAAAGAAAACTTTGAAAATTACTTTAATACATTCGTCAGTCTGTTACATCATGACCATCCTAAAAGTCTTCAATTGGCAGAACAACATTTCCAAAATGTAAGTGTTCATTTTTTTACTTATTCTTTCATCAGTACATTAGGCTTTACCAAGATCTTCGCTCTCACAGGTTATCTTGCCAGGATATTTTCCATTATTTAGGCAACAGAATGAACAACCTTGACTCATTCTAATTCGTTCTAATTATGTCACTAAATATATCGTAAGTTATCTTGTTTATTTACATTAGGTTACTGAAAGATCAAAAAGTACCGATTATATGTGCCACTCTTCAAGATATTTGTGTGAAATATTGAGACACTTTAGACAATGTACATAAGAAGCGATACGTAAGATATCACGTCGAACCATGAGTAGTAATTCGGTTTCGTTTAACGTTCCTTTGCGAGTCTTGAGCATAAAAATATTTTTTAAGAGGCCTTTCTCAAGTCAGACATCACATTATTTGTCGTCATATCATTGCAAAAATAAATTTTGATGTTGATATTCACGTTTAAAGTAGACTTCGTAGTATACATGGATTGTGTATATGAGATTTCTCATAAGCTGAACGGCTTGTTCTTAATAAAAATGATGGTCAGTTAACTCACTTCAGGTATGAGTACAGCAAAAGGGCTACTTAAATTACGTCTAAGTAATATGCGCTGCTTACTAGTGTCCTTACTCCATACTATCAGTAAAGAATATCTTACATTGACCAAAAACGTCTTTTATGTCTTATGTATAGAGATTTTTTGTAAGATATCGACCAGTCTAGTTAGAACATCAGTCAATCATCTACGACGTAGGGTCAGGCACATATACATCGGTCCAAGTTCTCATAACTCATTATCACAACAAGATGGACACCAAATCTATAGAAGCAGTTACCTCAATAGTAGTAATATATGAAAACAAAGATCTCATACAAAGATATGATACAGGGAGAAAGAATTATTTCGTAGAAAATTATTTTAATCTCACGATTTAAGGGAAGACAAAGAATGCATACACTTACGCCATTCTGGTCGATTCTGAACCATTTTACTCAGAATCTCCAACAAATGGTTACGATAGTCGCGCGGACCCCAACCAATTAGACTTCATCTACTAGCATGGCTTAGACTGGAAGTTAGTAACTTTATGGAGTGATGCTGCGTTTTAGTTTGACCGCCCCTAACTTCCATAATTGTCGGACGCCGATAAGCATGCCTGTGTTCTAAAACCTGACGAATGGTGAATATGTGATCAATGCAGCCACGACCAGGTCTGAAGCCAGCCTTATTTTCTCGTGTTTGCAGTTCACGAGTCTTTGTTAGACGTCCGATAATTATTGAGGCTAATATTTTAGATGCCATTTTAGTCAAACTAATTCCTCTATGGTTATCACAGGATGATTTTGACCCCTTATATATTGGGACGATCTGTGATTGCAACCAGTCAGATGGGATTGCGTTCAGTCCCCAGATTTTAGTTAAAATATTAATCAACCTAATCGCTGAAACTTGACCACCATCCTTAAAAACCTCTAGAATTAACCCATTTGAACCATCTTCTATCCCTCGTTTCAGATTAGTTATAGCTTTTTGAACTTCAATTAGAGTCGTGGGATCTAATTCAATGTTCCATTCAGGCTGACTGGGAATGGTGGGTAGTTGTAAAGTAGCTGAAGGCCAGCTGAACTGTTACTTAAAGTGTTCCGCCCATGGTTCTAAACGTCTAGGCGGAGAGCAGATTAGAGTGTCGTCTCTCTTGATGATTGTCTCACTTACACTTGGCTTTTTAATTCCGGTTTCTTTTACTAGTCCGAAAAGCTGTTTTGTGTTAGCTACAGCCTTTTCCTTTTCCATCTCTTTTACTTTTGTGGCTCGCCACTGCTCACGGTCGTTCCGTAGACTTTTGGTTAACCTAGATCTGACTTGTTTTCGCTCTTCATTTTGTTCAGAGCCTGATGGGATACGTTTACGATAATCAATCAGTACAGTAGACTTAATAGAAACCCACTGGTTTTTCGTAACCATTTGGTTCAAATCAATAATAAATGTCGCTACTGTTTCCACAGATGTTCGTATATCTTTCCAAGCAACATCTGGGTCAGCCTCGTTTTCAAAATCGTCGAAGTGTGGTTCCAGTTGTTCCTGAAATATACCTTTGGCTTTATCGTCGCCGAGTTTAACTCTAATGGGTTTTAATGTCTTTTTGCGTCCAGTGCGGCGCAAGCAAATGCGTGCTCGTATTAGAGCATGATCAGAGTCTAATCATGTATTCCAGAACGAACAGCAGTCTTCTATCGAGCCTCTCCATTGGTGAACGATGGCAATATGGTCTATTTGAGTCCATTGTTGGTTTGGTGCAGGGGGTCGCCATGTTAGGCGATGTCTCATGCTTTAAATTATTGCTTGTTAAAAATAAATGATTGTCTGAACACAGTTGTAGCAGTCATCATTATTTGTTCGCTTAGTCAGAATAACAAAATACCTACCTAAATGTCTTTCTGTTTGGTTTGAACTGCCTACTTGGGCATTAAGGTCGCCTGTTACGAGTACTATGTCTGAGTATTTAGCTTTTTGAAGAAGTTCAGAAAGCTTTTTGTAAGATTCATCTTTCGTTTCACCCAGGTTGCACTCAGTGGGAGCGTAGGCAGAAATGACGAAAAGATGACAACGTGTTTCTCTATCCTTCCGAGTCCTTACGGAACCTTTTAACCGAACAACACATAGGTAACTGTTAACAGGGACAGTATTTCGCACACTCGAGTTCTTGGCCATGGTGACACTCAAGTAGTAAGTTTATGGCTGATAGTCGAGGTAGGAGAAATAATAAGGATTGACGAGGAAAATCGGTTATGAATATAGTGGTCTTGAGTGCTGTCATAGGTATGAGGGCGTTTATCAACTCCCGGTTACTCACACCGTAGAAGGGTTATTCTAGAGGTACCCGACCGTAGCTGCTACCTTGACGTGGTGGTCGGGTTTACCTATCGTGGTGACCCAACCGAGCTATATTGGCTGGAACATATGTTCCTGTAGGTTCTACCATGCCAGGCAGGTCGATTGGAGAACGGTAAGACTAAAAGCAGCAACTCAAGGTCTGAGGGCGAAGTCGTACTGCTGACTGTAGAGGGATGTGACAGCAGTAAGGTGTTTCCCTCGGACAAACAACATCTGCAGCGATGCTTCCTACTCACAAGAAAGAAAGGGGTTAGAAAAGGTCGACCCTTAAATGTCACGCCTCACATTACCTCGCAGATTTCCGTCTCCGGCGGTAAGGCCCTTTGGAGAACGGAGCTAACACGTCAAAAACCTCCCACAAAAAGGCCGTGCGCGACCGGCCTCAAGTAGTTGTCCCTTGGACTCTGTGGTCACACTCCCGGGTCGTTAAGACCAAAACTGATCCGACTTCTATTTCAGGTTTCTCAAGAAATACCCTTCCACGGTGTGGGCACCCGGGAAGTGATATCAGCCCTCATACCCGTAACAGCATACGAGACCTAGTTGGTCACATTCAAATCGTTTCTACACCTCCTAATAAATCTCTTATCTCCACGACTAACCGTTCTCACGTTCCTTTATCACCTCGCACCGCTAGGGCAAACGATTCAATTACGCGGAACGTTACTCCTGGTCTCCTGAAATCACTCTCTAAACTACATATAGGAGCATTTAACGTCCGAACACTGTGCTAAATAGGACATCAGGCTTCCTTAGCTAGGACTTTAAAATCTCGCGCCATCGATGTGTGCTGCGTCTCCGAAACGCGCATACAGGATCCGAGTAGTGTCATTCATTTGACCTTACCATGTCAAAGTTATGAACCATCTCGATTTACGCCTCGTGTATCTAGAAGACCTGGTGCTGCTTCCAGTGGCCTTGCTGGGGTAGGTATAGCACTGAGTTTTAGGGCAGAACTAGCTCTCTTAGACTGGATTCCAGTAGACAGTCGTTTGTGCGCTGTTCGACTAAATGGAACAGTAAGGACTCTGAAATATAGGGACACTCGTCGTCGTCTCTGCCTAATCTCCCACTGACTGCAGCTCAGATGATGTAAAAGATGAGTTTTACAGAAAGCTTTCTGACCTCCGAAATGCTAGGCGCTCTGATGTAGTAATAGTGGCTGGGGACTTTAATGCTCAAGTAGGTAAAATAAGCGAAAGGGAAGGACACCTAGATGGATCTTATGGTGTCGTGGCTCAAAGAACAGATAATGGTGACCGTCTGTTGCAGCTATGCTCAGATAACCGCCTCTTTCTTGCAAATACTAACTTTAGGCATAAGGAAAAACATCTTTTAACATGGAGACCCCCTAATTCGTCCCAACGTTGGACCCAAATAGATCACATCGCTATCAGCCACCGATGGAGGGGCTCGATAGAAGACTGTCGCTCATTCTGGAGCACATGATTAGATTCAGATCATGCTCTAGTGCAAGCGCGTATTTGTCTACGTCTTACTGGATGTAGGAAAGATGATGCAAGGAAACCCCTTAGAGTCCTACTTAATGATAGTCAAGCTAAGAGTGTATTTGAGGAGCAACTAGAGAAACAGTTGAGCAGCCATGTGTGTGACGCCCACCCGAGTTAGCGTGGACTGACATCCGAAAAGCTGTGGAAACAGCAGTAATGTCTGCAAGTACGGTAAACCATAAGGTTAGGGAGCAACACTGGATCTCAGCAGAATCTATCTCACTGATAGATGCTCGGAAACTCATTCCATCTGGCTCTGAACATAACGAAGAACGGAGTCAGCTTAAGCGCAAGCTGACAAAAAGTCTACGCAATGATCGTGAACAGTGGTGGACAGGAAATGCAAGAGAGATGGAAAAGGCAGCGGCGATAGGTAACAGCAGACAACTGTTCAGGCTTGTTAAGGAAACTGGTATTAGGAACCTAACTTTTAGTGAAACTATCTCCGAAAAAGATGGACATATTGTTCATTCTCAATCCAGGAGATTGGGTCGATGGGCAGAACACTTTAGGGATCAATTCAACTGGCCTTCAGCCACACTTCTGTTTCCCACGATCTCCAGTCGACCTGAATGGTAAGTTGATGTAAGTCCTCCGA